TATCGATCGCTCAAGGAAAAGACATCGTTTTATTTAGAAATGAATAATTAATAGAATCTCTCACTTGTCGTTCATCCTTTTTTTATTGATTTGTAATGTAAACATCTGTAGTTATCCATGTAAAAAAGAAAAAGAAAAATGTTTTTAGTGCTCATATATAAACAGTGGAAATAATTAACTTCTTTCCTACTCCTACTTGTTTGTTTACTTTGATTGCACAGCATCTTCTTACTCATCGATATTTATTAATATGAACTTTAATAATCACCACCTGTAATATACGTCAAGTATTAACTTTTTTCATCATGTAATGATATCAAAATCTAATCATAACCACTACATAGAGTAGAATATATATATTTTTTTTCATAGTCATATCCGTATGCAATTATATGAGATGAAACAAAGACAAACCTATAATTTTTATTCTTTTGTGAACATAGCTGAAATATATTGGTATATTTTAGATAAATGATGAGATAAAGACATGAATGGAATCTTTGTAAAATCGTCTTAAATATATTTTATTAACAATCAGATCAACTATGAAAATATTAATGATGTTTACTAGTCGCTGTTTCTATTATTAGATATCCAATTTTATTTTTATTTTATCTAAATATATGAGTTCTCTCTTTTATCAAAAACATACAAAGACATCAAAACAATAATGTAATGTTCATTTATTTTGTCTTGTTTTAAAGTCAGGACATAAGATTAGCTACAAATTAGCAGTAGGAGAAATTTTGTTGTAGATAAATCTTACTTGAAGCAAGAGTTTGTCAGATAATTAATGAATAACTTTTTAGTCAACTGACATAAACAGTTAAGAATTTCTTATTTTTTGTTAAAACTTTAAAAAATGTTAATAATTGATAAAGATATGTATTTGTTGTTCTTTATTTTTTTTCACAGGCACACACAAATCTTCAGACATAAAAAATATTTTCTTGTATGAATAAATCAACTACAAGGTTAGCTAAACTGATCTGATTTGATTTATATTGTAAATCTATAATTGATTATTGCCTCTAGATCATGATACGTAAATATTTTTTTTGCAATGTCAATCATTTATACAAAACTATTGATTTATTATTTGATGTATTCAAGTTCACATAAATGCACAATATAATTCCTATTCCAATTTGCCCAATGTTAGATTATTATTTAAACAATTGCTCTCATATAAAATTTATTTGTTCCTTCTGACACTGAAGGCATATGCAGCATATTTTCTCTCTCTCATATAGTTTTCTTCTGTTACTGAAAAGGTATATCTATAAATATGTAAGAACATAACGATTGAATCATCAAAATATAATAGAAAAAGTAAAATCTATGTTTTGTTGTTCATTTAAGTTAAATTAAATTAAATTATATTATATTATTATTGTAGACAGAGATAAAAGATTATTCTTTAATTTAATTATTTGTAAGATAAAAAAAATGATTGAGATTTTTTAATGATGGCAACTGTGAAAGATGCAAAGAAAAATGGTCATCTTAAAATATTGTATATCGCTTATTAGATACGCATATCTTGAAAATTAGAAAAAATAGTTCTATATTCAGCCTATTCATTCGACATGATCTGCTATATCATGCATGCATAATGTAAAAGAAAACAAAATTAACGAGATGATGATTTAGTGTTAACTAGAATTTTATATGACCTTTACCTTTATATTCTTCTATAAGTCTTCATGAACATCACTTTTCGGTGAACTGTGACACAGATCTGTTGTTCATAACTTGTTATTAGTAGAATCCAGAGTATTGTAATAGATAAACTATAAAATGTTCTCCTATTTCTGTATAAAATTATACGAATGTCAGTTTTCTCCAAATATGACTTACAAAACATTAAAAAAAAATGATGATGATGACATTTTGGTTAGTCATCCAGGTTTTCCATGTTTGAACCTTTTTTCCTCTTAAAAGATCATCATCCGTATGAGAGATTCATTTACTAATAATCAAAACAATGTTGATAAAGGAAAAAAATCAAAACAAAAGAATTGTAAAAAATTTTTGTTATCTAGTTTTTCTTGAATTCGACACAGTTTTTGAAAGATAAGATGTAGATTAAACATAGACCCATAAAGTGCATTGTGTATGCCATTTTTGAATTTTTAGCACGTCTTTATTTTAGATATATTGTCTCCACTAATAAAATATAAAATTTCTTCGTCATTTCAAGAATCGTATACCGATCAACATAATCGTAACGAAATTACGTTTTTTCAGCTTTTAACTGTCATTTCTTCGTCAATTTAAAAGATAAGAAGCTTATGTTTTTACTAATTCTGTCGACATATGTGTTCAACAATTGCTAGGCGTTCAATTAAATTTGAATGTATGGTTCGATTATTTTTAAGAAAAATATTGACCGGTGAAAATAGAACCGTCATTCCGGAGTAATTTGAAGTTATCAAAAACTCAGCTAATCTCCGTTCTTTACGTGAAAACTTTTGTTGAAAATGTTGTAGAATGGTTCATGGGCTATCGATTGGAAAAAACGAATTTTGTTATAACTTAGAAATTAACGCTTAAATAGCTAAAATATGATCGTTACATAATCACGTATTTTACATCTTTTCGCAGTTCGATATTTTTTACCCTCAAGAATAAGTGAGAGTTAAATTAAAATGGCATCATCGTGATCTCAAAACGTTTCTTTATTTAATCATGCTCTCAAAATCTAAAAAAAACTATTGCAACAAATAGGAGAAAAAATCCAAATGAAAACAACTTCTTTTCAAAACTTAGAGATAAAAGACAACCGTTACGTGGAATGGCCCATACAAAAGTGTGTGTAATGTGTTCTTTAATTAAAAAAATACAAATCTAGCAGTTTTTCCGGATATAAAAATGTGCAACGAACTTATTCTTCCTCAAAACAGAAAAACAATTATCATTTTTCCTATTTTGTATAGATATAACGAGATTTCTGTTTGTGCTACGAACTGTGTGTCTATATGGAAATAAGTCCCTTGACGAAGGTAAACTGACATTTTATTTTTTTTCATTATAAATTTATTTGTGCAAATCAGAACGTAAAAGAAACGAAATATGTGTGACAGAAGAGTACGTGCTACTCCTGACAGTTATCGGTGAGAAACGAATAAACTATATGATAAGCCGTCAAGTGTTATCTACTCATTTGTAAGACAAAAAATTCCATTGATGGTAAATGTGAAAATTTTTAATCAAAGACATTATTTCTTGATATCTAAGAATAATAGAACAATAATTTGCTTTTAAGAAGAAGAATATTAAACAAAATTCATAGAGAATTTATAACTTACTCATCATATGATCATGTTAAAAATTCTTTTCGTCTTTGTTAAATGCTATGATTGTAGAATTTCTTCAAGAAATTATAAAGTTTACGTGAAGACAAATTGTTAGTAGGTCTTAACATTTACTTTCTCAAGAGTAATGAGTGCATTTTTTCATTCATTTAAGTGTAGTTGAACTATAAACAGCGATGGGGACGTGTAATTACTCATCCTCAAACTATCCATATCAATCATAAAAAACAAGAGTAAATCGTATGTATTTGTCTCTAGATTATGAAGAGAAAGATTTATCTATACACGAAGAATCTCGATAGTTTTTTTTTTTATCCAAAACAAAAATTAATAAAATAACTTTTTTGACGTTTTTTGGTCTGTATAGACTTTTACTCATACTTAATTTGTAGATTTTGATGTCTGTTGTTGTTGTTGTTGTTGTTGGTTGTCCATATATTCTAGTTTGTCGATACATCAAGTATATTTCTCGCTTTTTTTCTTCTTATTGTTGTATGTGTTATATTCACCTGTGTATGTATGTGCGTGTGTGTATATTCATCCTCATAACTCCTTTCGTTCATAATGATATAATATATTGTTAGGTTAGATGCTCACCACTTATTGTTGTATCTACTTGTAACACTTTGCGAGAAACTTTAGCTTTTTTGTAGAAACAAAAAAGAAAAAACCTATGTCGAGTAAAATAAGAAGAGAGAGCAAGAAGGCAAGATTGATTGATGTTTACAAGGACAAAAAAAAAAGAAGAGAGCGCACAGATTATATAGATTAAATATTCTGTTATTTTTTTGGGAGATGTCTCATGCACAGTAGGTAGAAAGTCTGATGGAGAAATAGGATCGTATTACATTTTTATTCTAATAATCTTGGAAAAAACAATATTTTCCCAAAATAATTTTTTCTTATAAAATAGATTCTGCTATATAAGAGTGAGTTAGAAGACAAGGATATATAGTGCTCAAGGGACTAGTTTCATTTTTCAGATTTGTTTCTTTGAAAATTGAGAGAGACATTTTCTGAATTTTTGTTGTTTTATATAAAGATTCGTTTGATTCGTATTAAAAAACAAGAATTATAAAGATTTTCAAATAGGTAAAGATCAAAAAAATTATCAAATAGTGTTTGAATCATTAAGAAAATGAGTTGAAAGTTCTATGACAAGTATCGTTTTTGTTGTTCAAATTTTAATCACAATGAACAAGTTGTACTGTTCTATGAATTTCTGATCAACATTTATCTACAATCAATTCTCTTATGTACCTTAAGTTTACTAGAGAAAATGACAATCGTAATCGGTATTTTTACATTCATTTTTTTTGTTTTAGTTATTCTTAACAAACACGTTCGTTTCTTTTCTTTTTACTGGATTAATTGATCATGTTGTTTGAACATTGTTTGTATGCATTATTTTACTTACTTTTAAAATTAAATTTCTTCTATGGTATGTATACATAAATGAATAGGAAATTTTTTTCTAATATGACTCATCTTTTTAGTAAACGGTGAACTGTTGAATGTTCGACAAGATATTAATAAAAACAATGAGGATGCCTATTATGATGGTGATTCACAACAATTTAATAATATTCAAACATCAGATTGTTCTATACAATGTCCACCATATTGGACAGAGCCTGTTCAACAAATTCAATCATTAGTTTATCCAGCTGCTGCATTTGTATCATTAAAATGTCCATATAATGGAAAACCGACACCTCAATTAACATGGTATAAAGATGATCAAGTGTTTGTGCCAAAAAGTTATGAATTATCTGATTTGGTATAAGAAAATATAACATTTGTTTTCTTAATCTAATTATTGTATTGTTTTAATGTTGATATTTTAGTATTCAATAGACAATTATTATTTGAATATATCAAAAGCAACAATGTATGAAAAAGGAATATATAAATGTATGATAGAAAATAGTCTTGGAAATATTAGTCGTTCATTTGAACTACGCGTACAAGGTATAAAAAAATAATTTTCAAAAATAATTATAATATTTAATTATTTTCATATTATATATTTCTTGCATAGGTCGAAGTTTTGATCGTGCAGTAATATTATCACAAACAACAAATCAAACATTATACGAAGGTGATAATGTAACATTTGAATGTTATTTTTACAGTGATTCAAGTCCATTTGTACAATGGTTTATACAACGTTCAATATTTCAAGAATTCAAATTTATCAAGGTAAATATTATTTTAATATGTTAAACTAGAAACTAACATTTATTTGAAAACAAGTGAATAGAAAAAATAAATTTTTCTAGTTTTCTGATGGTTCAAGATTCAGTGTAGGGTTACGTCAGGTAAAAGAGACGAAATGAGTTATATGCTGTGTGTAAACAGTTGTGATAGATTTATGCGTTTTATTTTGTTTGTTTTTTGTTGTTGTGTTGGGAAGAACGCATGTTTGAAAATATAAAACATGTGACATTATCAGCTTTAAATTTATATCTTATTATTATCAACTATTTTTTATTTATTGAATTGCATGATTTGTGTGCGATTGCTTTTTTTCGAAAAAAACAATCGGTCATGTATTTTAGATAAAAGATAACATATCTAAAATTGGATAATTTCAATACTGTTATCACTTTTTCTATGCTTCAGAGTGCATTCAAAATTTGATTTAAAAGACCAAATATCAGCTTTAAAAAACTATTTTTGTTAAGTTAGACAGAATAGAATTTTTATTTGACTGGCTCATTATTCTTTGTCATAAAGTTCTTCTTTCTTTCAAACACTTTTTTCTTGTTTGGATTTCGCCACTCATTCTCACTTATTCTTGATCGTCAAAATTCGAAATAAAAAAAGACATTTTTAATGTTCCAATATTGTCCATAACATATCTGAGAGTATTTTTTTTTTATTATTTATTTTAATTATCCTCAGAAATTTCTGAAATTCTACCACTCTTTTTTCTGTGGGACAATTATTGATCATGTGATACCTTAGCTAGCGTCTACATTTTGTTGAGTACAATCTATTTTGAATGATTGTATACTATTTTCTCTGTACAACTTATAGACTTTTAGAGCACTGAAAACATTTGAAATTTCCATGAATGTCCCCTAAATCAGCTAGAAGGTTGTAGTTTCATAGATGAGAATATCTTTGGAAAAAATATAACAAAAACAATACATAGTCTAATTTGAGCGTTAAAAAATCGTGAGTCAATCTGTATGTTGAACTGCATGGTGATCAAATCACTTTCGATTTTCTTTCAATGATTCTAGTGATCCAGTCCCATAAGAACACTCTTTTTTTTGAGGATCCATGAAAGCAGAAGAGTGTTTTTACCTATTGTATAGTTATTTCATTAATCCTTCCAGTTTATGCTATAATACAGTATATATTCATTGTCAACGAAAGCGCTTTGCCTTTGAATAAGTTGACTACACTCTTTATGATGTATTGTTACAGATCTGTAGTTAACTACATCTTTCCTTGATTTATAAAGTTTTCATCGTTAAATAACAATAATTTGTTCTCACTTCCCGTTCCACTCGCTTAGCTTTCTAATTTTTCCGACGGATCGTTTGATTCTTAGTTTAAAATCTGGAGTATATGATCTAATTAAAACTTTTTTATCGTTATTGCATGATAATTTTTATTTTATCTGAGAGAATTTTTTAGCATGCTTTTGATGAATTTGAAATATTGCATGTGTATGTTTGAAGTTAATGTAATACACCTTTTTAACATCAATTAATGTTAAAAAGAGCTTCAAGAATTCTGTTTTATATATATTTTGTATTATTCGAATTAATCGAAGATGATGAAAAAGACAGATAAACTGTTAGACAAAATCATAAAATGAAATAAATTGGCCGATATGTGTCACGAATTTATCATTTAAAGATAAAAATAAAAATAGTGTTCACGTTCTTTTTTTCTCTCATATTTCTTGACATCATCATCATCATCACCATCATGGTTGATAATTGAATACATATGTGAATAAAAAAATAAAAATAAAAAGATAGAGAGAGTTTGTACATGTAAGTTGACACATTCATATGACTAAAGAGTTCGCGATATCACTTTTTTTTCTTCTTCTTCTTCTTTTCTTTATTTATCTCTTAAGTTTGATCAAAGGAGCACAACCTTTTTATTATTTACATGTGTGCTTTGCATATAAATTATGTCTGTGACACAAGAACTTATGCAGTTAATTATGCAATATGTGTTTGTCGAAATGTACATTAATCAAAGAAATTTACGGAGGCAAATTATGTTTTAGTGGTCCAGTGGAAGCAAAATAAATATTTTTTAAACAACTAGAAATCTGTCTAGAAAAAAACAAAAAATTCTATGCTAACAGATATACTCATCATTGAATCTATAGATAATATGTGATCAACGGCGAGTTAATAAGTACTCTTTTATGAATTGATATGTACAGACACTAACTAATTTTATCGCTATTACAGACTTCTTTTTTCTCATCTGATAAACTAATCAATTCACATTTATCTTCTCTATTTTTTTTTTTGTTTTTGACTAAAAATTACTCGTCTTTTTCATGTAAATAATGATAATTAATAAATCATCAATAGACGCTTGCTCGAATCATATCGAAATAGAATCAACTATAATAGAGACAGGGATAATAAATCATTAATTAATCATGAACTCGATGGCATTGTCTTTCATCTCAGTTCATTAAGAAAATTTGACGTATATATGCCCTTCTAAATACGAAAATAAAAGACTACTGAACACATAATGATGTTCATTATCAAAATAAAATATAAATGAAAAAATGTTTAATATAAATTACTACTTTTTGAACAGCTGTTTGCCGTATTTAATAAATAATAAATTTTATACAATGTAAACATATTACGACGTGATAGATCATTGAACTGAGTATAGTAGAAACCAGTTGTTATTTTAATAAAAAAACATAAAATAGTATGGCTTATAATGGTCAAACAACTCTTTTATTTTATTGTGTAAACACATGCGACTATTGAATTGTAGTAAGATGGAGGATAATACCCTTAAACATCAATTATTGAATTAGATTAAACGAAAGATTTATTACATATGTAATGAATCATTATTTTTCCATTACACTCTACCTGAAACACTTGTTAATCGAATTTTGAAAATGAATTTAAATTTAAAAAATTTATACTGGTTTCTTAATCTCTAAAATATCTTTATTGAATTATGTTTAGACTAAAATTGAGATAATAATCTCTTATTTTGTTGTTTTATACTTCTTTTTGCCATTACAATTCAAACGTGTATGACATAAAATTTCGATTGATTAAGATATCAACTGTTAATGTTTGACTGAAAGTGAATGCAATGAATGAGGCATATTTAAATCAAATATCTGAATGAAGAAGCTGTTCTATTTATCTAACTATCTATTTTTATGTTACCTAAAATAGGGTATATTTTATCACATAGGAATATAATCCACAAACAATGACTGAAGACGAAGTGAAATTAATGACAATAAATAATGCACAAATTAATGATACTGGCACCTATCTTTGTCGCGTTTTAAATGAATATGGTTTTGTCGATTTATTACATCATTTAAATGTATTACCAGGTTTGTGTTTGGATTATTCATATTGAAATTAGATGATAATATTAGTCTTATTCTATTTTTAGGTGCACTTCGTCCTACATTACCACCAATACGTCATCAAATAGCGGGCATGGTTGAAGAATTAATTATTGCCATTACTTCTGTTATTGCTATACTCATATTTAGTTTTACACTCTTTCTTATCTATCATTGTCGTAATCAAAAAAGTTTACGTCGTTCACTATTGGCAACACGAATACTTGCAACAGGAGGCAGTGAAAATTTAAAAGGAGTAAATGAAAATGTTATTTTATTTTTAATCAAAGTTTTATATTTTTCTTATCAAATTTAAGAATCCAATATATCGAAGTGAATTTGAATCAAAAACAAAACGTCCATTATTAGAAGATGGATGCCGTCGATTTCCAACAGAAGCAACAATATCAACTATTATATCATCGTATTATGATGATCAATGCGAATTTTCTCGTGAAAAGTATGTCTCTTATTTAATACCAAAATAATATTGTTAATTATAATCTATTCTTACTCTATTATTTTAGATTAATCATGGGACATCTACTCGGAAAGGGTAACAGGATATTGTAAATACTATAAAAAAAAATACATTTAGATTAAAAAAAAAAAATACTCTTATAGGATGAAAACTGTTGTTGTTTTTTTGTATTTTTACTCATACATTAATATTTCTATTTTTCTAGGTGCATTTGGTTTTGTTTATCAAGCAATAGCCTACAATATTATACCTGGTGAACAATCAACAACGGTGGCAGTCAAAACCGTACGAGGTTCGGATGCTTTAAAACAAGTTTGAAGAGAATACACGTCTAATTATATTTTCTTTGATTATTTTATAATGATTAGATGATGCAACAACTGACGAAATTGAAAATTTACTTAAAGAACTTGCTGTCATGAAAATGGTGGGAAAACATCCAAATATTATCAATTTATTTGGTTGTTGTACAAAAGGAGGTAAGTTATTTACATGAAAAACTCTCAAACGCCAATATACAACCTTTTCTTTTTAGGACAAGTCATGTTAATTGTTGAATACGCTAAATATGGAAATCTTCGTGATTATTTAAGATGCAAGCGACCCAGTGGTCATGTACTATCTGGTTCATTTGAATCAGAAGAAAATGATGATTATCACGTAGATGAAATAATAGATACTTTAACCACACTTGATTTATTATTATTTTGTTTGCAAGTAGCATCCGGCATGGACTATTTACATTCGAAAAAAGTATGTGTCTTCTTTTATCATATTTTAAAAAATATTTGTGTGTTAAAATATGTTTTTTTTTCGTCTTTTTATTATTAGTGTATCCATCGTGATTTGGCTGCACGCAATGTACTTTTAGCAGAAAATCGCGTATGTAAAATTTGTGATTTTGGCTTAGCTCGTGATCTAACACAAAATTATTATTATCGTAAACAAACAGATGTATGTATTATGTTTATGAAAAGTTTATAGTTGATTTAGAGTTCTATGTTTATTTTGTAGGGACGTGTTCCGGTAAAATGGATGTCACCTGAAGCATTATTCGATAGAAAATTCTCTACAAAATCAGATATTTGGTCATTTGCCATTCTTGCTTGGTCTGTTAACTTTCTCTAATCTAAAATTTCTATCAAAAATAATTTTAATTCTTTTTGGTTTTAGGGAAATAATGACATACGGTGGTACTCCTTATCCGTCTGTACCAGCTGAAAAATTATTCGATTATCTACGAGATGGTAGTAGGATGTCAAAGCCAGCCAATTGTCCAAATGAAATGTACGAAAGAGCTTACTCTTTAAGAGATATATATATTTTATCGTGTTATCCTCTTTCTAGTTTTAAAATAATTGAAAATTGTTGGGAATTCAAAGAAAATTTACGACCATCATTTCAGCAAGTTTGTGAACGATTACAGCGGTATTTGTATGGTACAAGTCCAATTGATTATTCTGATTTGGACTATGTTGACTTACCATTATCTCCATCCACTAGCGATTTTGCACAAACACTGTTTCCTACATCAACCAGAACTACAACAAGGACAAACGATGATATTGGGTCTAGTATACCAAGTACAATAACCACCGCAGCCACCTCTTCATCATCACTGACTTAGTAGCATCATTTTTCTAATAAAACTTTTTTTTTTTGCAAACTGAAGGCAATTTTTTTACAGCCATCTTTTCGTTATTTTTTGTTTTGTTTCATTGTTATTACTGTAAATGAGATTTTATCTTTCTATTTTGTTTTTGTCAAATATTTTTCTGTTTTGTTATCTGTTTCTATTTTAGTGATTGATTTTAATAGTTTATGTTTTTTCAGCTTTTTTTTACTATGTATTTGTATATAATGTATGGTCAATAGTATAGATTTGCGGACAGTACAAACGTCGAAACTGAATGATAATAATAAATACAAGACGATAAAGGATATAAGTTTTATTGTTATGTCAACGATGTAGCAAAGAAAAATCTCGGACTCCTACAAATCTCGGACAATTACATATTAACAGAAAAGTTTAGGTTTTTTTGAACAAAAGTAAGAAAAAAGCTTAACACATAGAGATTGAAACTAGTAAGCGTTAAAAAAGAACCAAATCCAAAGGAGTTGGCAAGCTAAATCTATGAAATCGCCTATCAAGATTCAGTTGGAGGGATGTAACGGTCACGATAACGTTGCAAGGATTTGTAGAGTGAACATAATAATTAGAAATGGGTGAGTCACCACTTTTTCGAGTCTGAGTAAGCAGCCTTCGAGTCGAGGTCCGAGTCGCATCAAAAATTGACTCGAGTCACCTGGAGTCACTTCGAATCATTTTCTAGAGGAAAAGTTCCTACTGATTTATTTTTCCAAGAACAGGTCTTCAATCCCCTCATGTGACACAATGTTCTACTTAGAATATTCTCAACTTTCTCCCTCTTCTGTTATGTAACAAATATAATAAACACCGTAATAACAATCCCAAGTTGCGCACGACTGATTCGAAAATGACTCGAATCACTTTATCAAGTCTTTATTTCGAGTCCGAGTTCGAGTCCCGGTCGTAGAAAAATGCGACTCGCGCATCGCTCACTCCGGCTACCTTCAACTCCAACTTTAGATCGAAAATCTCACACTCCAATACCGAGGATTCTAACTTCAACTCCGGCTTTGCGAAAGTTCAATTCTACATAAGCCTTTTGACTTCTTTACATTTATTTTATTACCATTTCATTATTTTGTTGCTTTAGAAGAAGATCAAGTCTGTGCATTCGATCCTAGCTTCGTGCAAGAATGAATTTGTGTTTTAATAGTTATAAGTTTCATAATGATATATAATAGGGGTTTATATTCTCGATTTCATTCTGGTTCAAGGTTAAAACTTAAACCAAACGTATTAGAGCTTATAGAATTTATACAATACACTAAAAAATAATGTATCGCCAATTGCGACATAATCATCTGCGACACCGGGGCCACTTGCGACACATTCCGCTGAGTATATTTATTATAAAGAAAACAGTGGAAATTAGCTATTTTTGATCTCTTATTCAATTTTAAGAATATTTTTAGTTCGTTTTGGGTGCACCGCGTAATGTCGATGAGCTCAATTCGCCCATAATATTCACAGGCCGAACAAATCCATCTGAAGTGCCCCACGTTTTACTAAAGTCTCTCCCCTTCATTCAAGACCAATCTAGTTTTACAGAGCATATCAAATTACGCTAGAAACTGTTTTTTTTGACTTCATAGCTGATGCAGAACCCGAGAAAAATGACTTTTACTCTCCCAGAAAAATTATCGGATTTGGCGCTACTTTCAATGCGATGATTATTATTATAGAGTGGGACATGACCTATATTCTCTACAACTTTGAAGAATGTACCATGTAAGGTTCACGAGATATTGAACTTTTAAAAATGAACTATGTTTGAGTTTTATCTCAGTATTTTAAATTTGGGTTTTTGTTAAACGCAACATCCTATAGGTTTTCTTGCGTTCTCAGTTTGATTATGATTATAAAAAACTGCTTTTCCAGGTGTTTATAAGGTAGCTGAGTCCGCAGTTACTATGGTGCCACCATCATTAGTAGCTAACCGGCCAATGCTCTTTTTTCTCAAGTAACAGTTTTGTACGGTGGTCATGAGAAGTGAAAAAGCTCAATATCTCGTAAACCTTACATGGTACATTCTTCAAAGTTGTAGAGAATATAGGTCATGTCCCATTTGATAACAATAATCTTAAGCGCTCTGTCGAAAACAGGGAGAACATGTTGTAAAATTCATCGCGGTGGTGATCAATTCGCATTGAAAGTAGCCCCAAATCCGATAATTTTGCTGGGAGAGTAAAAATCATTTTTCTCGGGTTCAACTATGATGTCAAAAAAACAGTTTCTAGCGTAATTTGATGTGCTCTATAAAACTAGATTGGTCTTAAATGAAGCGGAGAAAGTTGCTGTATTGATAGGACATTTCAGATGAATTTGCACGGCCCGCAAAATATTCAGTTCCCTAGATCTGAGATTAATAGCGTAGTTAAGGTCTCGGATTGGTTGATTTTTGTCAGAGAAAAAATGTTTAACATAGAAAAAAGGTTAAAAAGACTTAGACAGGGATCTTTAGCCATGAATAACATCAATGCAAAATTGAAAGAATTTAAAAAGCCTGAAAATTTTCTTCTCTTATACGTATTTGCACCACCTATAGCTCATCAAAATTGTAGAGGAGCCGAGAAAAAGCCTAATGAAGACTATTGAAAATAGTAAAACATAAAATTTAGCAATTCCTTAAACAGAGTGGATGCTCAAATGGCCTCAAGAACTCTGTCTAAAAGTTCTTAGTAACAGCGGCACAAACATGCGACACAACTTTCTCACAGGAGCTGCGACACATTTGACTGCAACACAAAATGCGACACAATATTTTTTACTGTGTTAATGGAGAAAAAAAGCGAAATTTCGAAGTTAAAACATTTTCGGATAGGAGTTACCACAGATGGGCAACTCTGGCTAAGTTCAACTCCAACTCTGTTTCAACGCTGATAAGGACTTATTTTGTCTTAATTCATTTTCTTCTTTTTTTTATTACGAGTTGTTTATTTCGCTTTTACAAGAGCACACACAAAAAGAGTCAGTTTAACAATCCAAAATTGCATTTCAACAATGTTAATTTTGAAAGCGTACTTTTTGCCATTCTACATCGAAGAGATAGGAAAATAAAACCACTCTGTCTACCGGTGCAACAAAAACAGGAGAAACTTTTTAACTGAAGTTGTGAAGTTGGAGTTGAAAAAATCTAAACTCAACTCTAATCTAATAGAAACGCAACTTCAACTCAACTTCACTAAAAAGAAGCTAAAAACTCCGGGGTAAACTTCAACTCCAGAGTTTGAGTTGCCCATCTCTGATTATTATCACCATCAATGCGTTGGTGAAATAATTCAGCATGAGAAAATTTATCTGAAAGTTTAAATTCCCGGATTAAAGAAACTTGACATCGGAATAAAATGAACTATTACTGTAGAATTAATCAAGTTGGTCTAATCAACTTGGTTGCAGAAAACTGCTTTTGTTCTTTTTTTTTGTTTTAATATGTATTCTCTAAAATAAAAACTTGTCATGTTTACTTTTCATAATCATAACTTTCATTTGCTGCCTTATTACAACGTGATCTTTTACTTACTTAGTATTTTTGAACAGTGTGGGTTTTTCTAGTGAAGATATATTTAACGTGGGAAAAGGTGGTTGAGAACGGATAATTAGAATCGCTTACTCAGACTTGTTGACTTACACGTGTTACCTAAGACGTGGAAGTACTTTGGTAATGCTTACTTGAAGAACGTTGGCTAAGCACTGAAGCTTTTATTTATAAGTAGTTGAATTATGCGCGAATCTTTACGCAAATACATGTGAATTAGTCATCTGATAAGTAATTGAAGAGCTTATAAGTAAAAGACCAGGAACTGGCTTCATTATTTTTACTATGCACCCTTTCAAGTGCCTGGCTTCAAATACATGCAGTACGGAGCTTCCATACTCATGAACCGTCCTACTGCTGGATGATCCCCAGAATAGAAGGTGTGACTAGCACTCACTAGGAGGCGAGATGGCATTATTTTTGCAATCTATCGATCAAATAAAAATGTTCTAAAAATGATAACAAAGGAAATTTGTGACAGTTCTTTTGCTCCCAAACAACGGGGCGTCGTGCCATTTATAGTTTGAGATATCAAACAAAGAATACTCTAAAGCAATATATCGAGTAGAGCATCAAATTCGGAGTAAAAGACTATATTACAATTCATGCGACATTTGTGTACAAAGAAATCATACTTTCGAAAATGCAGTTTTTCCACTGGACCTTTCGTCCAGCCAAATCTCAGGATCAAACAACTTCCATTCGACTTTTGAAATTTTTGAATTTGAATCACAAAACCAAAAAATTCTTGCACTATAGATAAAAATGAAGCTAAAGAGCTGTTTGAGTACCCCTCCCCCTCTTGAAAACCGAAGAAGCCAATGTCGGATCGGGGTGAAATTTATATCAGAGATAGAAAATCGATGTATTCTGCCCAGAATTTTCTGAGACGTTCTTCTATGGATTTTGTAGAAAACTGCAGTTTTCATCAGACCACATTAAGAGCCCCCGAAAAAATGGTCTGATCGAGCTGAAAATTTTTCCACAGATAATTTACACCCTATCTCAGGTTTGTTTCTTTCTTTTCGACGCAAAAAAGTCAGTTTTTTTCTCTGATTTTCACAACTTTTCGGATATCTCGAGAAGGTAAGCATATTTTTCGAAAAGAAAAAAAGCTAACCTGAGATAGAGTCTAAAGTATTTCTGTTAAAATTTTCAGCTGGATCGGACCATTTTTTCGAGGAATTTTAATGTGGTCTGATGAATGCTGGAGTTTTCCACAAAACCCATAGAAGAACGTGTCAGAAAATTCTGTACAAAAATACATCGATTTTTTTTCGATGTTCTATCTCTGGTATAAATTTCACCTCGATCCGATATTGGCTTCCTCAGTTTTCAAGAGGGTCAAAAAAGAGGGGGGTAATCCAATGAAAAAAATGTGGGCTTCATACTCAGAGAGGACGATAGATATCGACCTTATTCTTTTTTCATTGGATCAAGCAGCTCTTCATTTTTATCTATAGTGCAACTTTTTCTTTTGTTTGTTTTGTTATTATATTATATTCTTCATGCCTGTTTGGGGATGTCAAATTTTGATCTCTTTTACACTGAAGTAACTTTGACCTTATTTTTCTCTACATCCATAGGGTTAACGTCGACGTTCAATATACTATACGAAGAAGCAGCTCGAGTAGTATAAGTGCTGATACTCAAAACTTAAGGAAGTATGAAAAACAGTGAAATACTAAATCTTCAAGGAAGGCAACCCAGTCAGAAAATCTTAACTATTAAGTGCTGTTGTATATGGGGAAGTTTCGAATTAAATTTTCCCCTGCCATACATAACTCTTGAAATTATGACGGCTGATCAAAAATGCGTATCCACAAAAAGCCAATAGCAATTAAAATTGGGATTTAAATGATGTTGTGTACTTCTTTTGTGTTTCTTAAGTGGAGCCGCCATAAAGCGCTAGAAAATTTTTTTTTGATATCCCTTTGCGGTTGGTGAAAAATGTGTTTCCGCTTTTCTGACCTAAGCATCTGGCAACTCTAATGTGTACCGTATTTTTTTCGGTATTAATACTGCTTTTTCCCCCTTGAATTTTACACACAGTATCTATTGTATATGTTAAAAGAGAACAAAAAATAAACGCAGTGGACGATAATATACGCACACTATTTGTCTATTTTTCTCCTTCTATCGAAGAACGAACGAAATAAGAAAACATTACATGGTTACAAACTGAGATAGAGAAAAATACGAGGTCAGATCCTAGTTTCGTGCAACGATTGATTTTGCACTTTAATAGTTTAAGGAACAGAATGATATAATAAAAAAAAGATTTTCTTAACGGTGGGTAAAGAAAAAATCCGCTCAAGATCTTGTCGCGAATTAGACACGATCTTGCTAAAATCCTGCCGTGATCTCGTCACACTCCTGACACATAAATGAAACAAGATCGCATAACGAACTTGATCAAGAACGCTATTACAATTATAAGATCGCGATTTTATTTTGCCAAGATCAGCATCACATGGGCAAAAATCGGGTTCCTGATCGAATCTCAGCAAGAATGGAATGGGAATACCACTAGGGGTGTGTTCACACGACACTTTTTAATTTAGTTTAATCCAAATCCTAACCGAGTTCGAAATGACATCGTTCAAGCGCTCCTGAGGATTGACCAATGTGAAAATACTGAAAATTACCTTCGCGAATAATTTGCGGGACGCTGTATGAGCTACAAATGCGCTTCGAACTGCATATGTGTATAAGTTATTTGACCATAACGCATGTGTAGAAGATGTAGCTAATCACTGATTGATCGATGTTTAATAGGGGGTCATTAACCGAGTTCTATAAACTTGGTTAACTTAACCAAGTTGGCAAATTGCCAAACTGAGCTCTTGAACTAAGTTAACAAACTGAGTGCGTTCACACGGGACAAGATTGGAAAGATCCGGATTAATCTAAGTTAAAATGTGTCGTATGAACGTGACTTTATCTGCCTTATGGATCAAAATGATACTAAGTCAGTCAACTAGAAAATGATCACTCAGTGTGCACAAGAGCGAACGCTGTTTATTCAGTTAGAGAATTTTCTTTTGGTGTTGCTATTCGAATAGAAAAAGGTGCATACCTACTTGATCTATCTTATGAGATTGTTTAATTTGTCTTTGAGATGGTTCATCAATTAGGTCTAGAGCACAATGGAACCGAAGTTGGCAAACAAATAAAGGTATATAAAAAAGCGAGTGTCTTTCGGAAGATTACTATGTACAGACTTGTCGCACACTTCGGATACTTATCACTCGACTACAAAATTTTCTCCGACATATTTCTCATGCACTGAAATAAAGCTGTTAGAAAAACATATTCGCGAGTTTGTTCGGTCACTTTTGACTTTGTCTAAAATCACGTATATTTCTGCTGGGAGAAAAGTCAGTTTTAAAAGTGAAACGAAATGCGTTCGAAAACGTCGATCATCACATTAAAAAAACTAACGTTTTCTTCTTAAAAAAAAGACACCGAATCTAATGAACTTTGACTACTTGAGCTTGGAAAAGGCGCATCAGTTGTATGATTCGTTATTCAGCCCAGAAATAGGAGAAACACAGTTTGCCCGGAAAATCCCGTTTTTAAGAAGAGGTGCTTTTTTTGAAAATGCTCTTGAGACTTTCCTGAACGTTTTTGAATTTTCCTTCGCTAGAGAATTAGGAGGAGCTAATTTACTCTCACTATCGAGAATTAGACCTGGAAGTTTCGGCTCAAAATAATGCTTTGTTAACAAGTTTTGAAAATTCCCGCAAAACCGATTTCTAGTGAAAAATTATGTCCCTCTTCGCTCTGAAGTCCATCATGCTGACATTCTAAAAAGCGCTCTTGATATTTCGCAGGATAAGTGCATCGTCTTTAATTCGTTCGAAGAGGGTTGAATAACCAATTCACGTTTCCAAGGAGAACACGCGAAAATGATGAAATGTTCTTCATCTTTTTCATACAGAAAAATGTTTCTGAATACTACAAATATTTTTAATATGCCGTCTACCAACTTGCCCTCCACCCGCTAAAATCTAGTGAGACACAAGCCTACTGCAGATCCTGCTGACAGTTTTGTTTTAAATTTTATCCCGTTTCATAAACATTTAGGTTATGATGAATTAGATAGTACCATACTGCTACGAAGTACATGAAACGGGGAACCCCGTTTCTCGTTTTTCGTGTTTATATATATACATATAGTTTCTGTGTTCTTTGTTATTCGTTCTCCTGATGATGCCGAGTGTTACTCGTCGAAAGCTTGAGATAGAATTACTGTGGATTTGAATAAAATCTAATCATGTACTTCGTAGCAGTATGGTACTATCTAATTCATTATATATTTTCAACTGCTGTACCAATTAATTTAGGTTATGGTAATTATTATTGTAACACTTGAAAGACAATAGCTGATCATCTAGAAAAACATTTCAACTAATCTTCACAACTAATCTACTGTTCTATCAACAAACTATTCAATAATTATCACAGTTCTACTGTTGATTATCTAGTTCTGCAGTTTTGGCACTTTTTTTTGAATTTTGTTTCAACCATTTACCAATATTTATTTTAACTTGTTTTCGATATGTATCCAGTTTCTTCTGTAAATCCACCTTCTTAAAATCGCGATATTCGTCTAATCGTGCATGATAGTACTGTTTAATTTGATCCATATTCAAATGCTCAGTTTTGAGATTTTTAAATTGGTTTCTTAAATGGTAACATTTTGTTGTTTGCAAGGCTAGTTGTCGAAGATAATTTTGTTTTGATGAATCTTTAACAACATCAACATAGGCTTCTTTATGAAACTGGCTAAACTCTTTGGAACAAGGTAACATTGATATAATTCGCATATCTTCCTCGGTGAATTTACGACTAGCACGAGATGGACGCTTTTTTGTAGTCGTTGGAGTTTCTTGTTTATGATTCTGTGATATTTTCGGTGTTAGTGGTTTTTTAACAACGACTGCCGCGTCTTTTATTCTTTTTTGTTCAATTACTTTTTCGTTTAGTAATTTGATTTCTAGTTTTGTCGTTCTTGTTGGAAATTTGATGCCATACTGAGAGAACATTTTTCTAAATACTGAACCAAAAAAAACACTTTGCCACACGCCTATGTAGTAAAAAGTTATTCTTCCATGACTCTAGTGACTTTTTAGAAAACGATGAATTCTACTGTTACCCCATGAAATAATTTTGATACTCTAACGTACATTAGTAGGCGTTATAAAACTTTTCTCCAGAAATAATGCGGTTGATTAGGCTAAATTTACAAATATAATGCGTGACAACCCTTCTCCAGAGAAGACTCGGTTTAGATTCCGTTAAATATGACTCTTAAGAGATTTAACGAGTTCCCACATTCTAACTTTTAAACAATAAAAATAAAAAAACTTTCGAACAAAAAGAGCTAAAAATCTGTGGTTTTCGCTAACTCATAGAGGAAATTTAACCAAATGTTTCGATAACTATGAGGTTTTTGGAAATAGATTTTCGGGCGGTGTATCTGACAAATTTTTGAAAAAGTAAATTGCCATGGATTGATATTTCATAGTCACGCATCGTCTGGCATATCCCATGACATCCTCTACAAATCAGCGAAAGAAAGAGGTCTCCGACAGTGTTTGTTTTCAGAAGAAAATCCAGAAACCTAGTGGAAATCTATAGTAGGTGGAATAACCCTTTTTTGGACACTTTCACCGAAAATTAAAAAAATCCATAATTAATTCATTTAATTTAATTTTCTCGCTACGAAGTACTTTGTAGTACTTGCGTTTTTTGCCTGATAGCACTTGTAAAGTGAGATAAGTGCTTACCAGTATTTTTACTTATAGAAAGAAGGCACGTATCGGCTTAAATAATGTGAGCGGAGTACTTATCGCACGTACATTCATCAGAATGGGCTTTCGTTCTCACAATGCAACATGATCAATTTGAAGTAAACGTAGCGTACTTACGGCATTACACAGACATGCCGCCTGGTTACACAGTTATATATGGACAGTTACTTATGGGTGGCGACACTCAGACATGTATCTCACAAATTCGACGAATTAGCAACTGAAATTTCTGAGAATTACATTAGTCTTAGTTGATCGTTATTCATTCGGAAAATTTTGGATTACCTAATAATGTAAATATTTAGAAAATTTTGAAGAGAATATTTTTTTTTTATATTTCTGAATGAAGAAGTGATCTAAGGAAAAAACGCAAAAGTTTCGAAAATTTATTATAACTCAACCAGTAGATGTCCTTACTAGGCATGTCCCAGTATTTACGGGTCGCAATTCCTTGTTTTTTTTCATATTCAGTTTTTAATACCGTAAAATGATGATTTAGTCTTGGTAAAGCAAACATTTCTCTACAAAATGAGGTCTAACAGCACTTTCCATCTTGAATCAGTACTTAGATAAAAATGTTTGTCAAACGTCCGATGACCGGTAATGATGCGGGTACTGATTAATACCGGTTTAAAACTTTTCGTCAAGAAGCGATTATGATAGACAGAAAAAAGATGAAGGGTTGTGTTATATCTCATTTTTAGAAAAATGTTTGCTCTACAAACTGAGTCGTCAAAAGACTTTGATAGTTTGTAATTTTTAATCAATCTGATTCAGAAAAAGAGTGAAACATACCGGTACATGTCTAACCCTGACAGACAGTCACCTTTCAGTGACATGTTCTTTTCGTATACCAATTATAGAATTTCAGTTTCCCCTAAACAACTCAACTGGAGATATAAGACTAAGATCTTTTTAGTGAATAATAATTATCAAATAAACTCTAATTTCTAAAAACTCTAGTCGTTAAGCTCGTCGTATTTCTGAGATGATGTATGCTTGAATGTCGCCACTTATAAATAATTCATTTATAATTCTGCAACTAAGACACATGGTTCCAAATACTGAGATGGTTTGTCGTATACCATAATTGATCCTGACGATCGAAACGGGACGAGTTGCTGAAGCATATTTTCCCGTTAGCCAGATTGAACAGTCGAGAATCTGTTGTCAGTAGTATAACCACTATTGGAGAGCTAAAATTCGTTTTCTTTTGGGAAATATAGAGAAGAGGATTTTCAAATTTACTTTCAGACTTAGCACATGATATTCTGCAAACGTCTGATTCTAGTATGCAATAAAATAAACTAAGATAAGTTTCGATATATTTACCTTGAAAACGCGACACACAAAACCAGTATAAATTCACGTTCAATTTTATTTCTATTCGCACAGTGTACTTTACTATTTGAACAGTAACACTCACTTTTTTCTTTCTTTCTTTTCTTTGCTCTGTTTAGTCAGTCAAAGACATATACACGAAAAATAAAACAATAGCATAGGTTCTTCTTCTAGATCGTTCGGTGAAGGCCGCTGATGTGTGCGACAACGTTGCCTATCAGGAAAGAGTAGAGCACTGTAGGATAGGACGTACTAATGGATCTGCGTATCCTGTACCGAACGTGTAAAGCTGTCTGCGAAAGGGAGTACTACGCTGAAGACATTCGTACAGTCGTGAGTTTTATGTAATCAGGCTATTGAATCAGGACTAACATATTCAGTGACTAATGGAGGACGAAAAAAGGAATTGCCATGACAGCGTCCCCCATGAGTCATCAAATATGCATGCCCTGTAGGGAATACAAACTCTGAGTACCGAAAAAGAGCAATGTAGACTTCACAGTAGTGCCTAAAATATATTTTTTAGTACGCAGAAGTCACTAGATACTATAAAATGGTATCGCTTGGATTCGTCGACTCATTATTTTTTTCCTGACTCGTCGATAAAATTTTTGGGGGAAAGATGAAAGATGTTTGTAAGGCGCCGACGCTATAAAATGTCGATGAAACAGAAAAACCAATTAACCTGTCGATAATTCGGGACTGAATCCTATAAAATACGTTTTAACCAGTTGTGCAATTATCAAAAGGAATTGTGAGATATCAGAATCTGACCGAATATTTCTAGAGAACCGCAGAATGCTGTTTTTACATATTCGGAATCGTGGCGACGAGTTACGGTATATGGCGCAAAGATCTCGTCTGAATACCGAGATTTTTTTTACCCATGGGACTATATTTTAGGTTTCGCGGTATACCACACTCCATCAAACACACTGCGTCTATTTTCTTTCCTTTGATCTTACTTTTCTTTCGTCTGATGTATTTTTCTTATTTTCACGTATATATGTGTGTAGAATCTCATTTTTCTTTGAAGAATAAACGAAGGAGCAGGAAAAATTTTACGTTCTTATCGCTCGCTATCACTGCTTAACGTTTACAAAATCATCGTTTCTTTTTCTATATTCGGAAGTTAGATAAACTCTTTTTCACTATCGTGACTTTCCGGCTTTCTCTTCAGGTCACCGTAGTCATGTAGAGTGTTAGCGATTTACTGGTCATACTTATCGTGTTCTCTGTGTATAACACTAACCAGTAAGTAACCTATCAAGTAAATTTAATGTGAGAAAGTTACAAGCAAAATAATCAAAGAGAGACTGAAAAAACACGAAACAAAAATTATTTTTCTAATTTGGCTATATTATACACTACGTATACTATGAAGTTGCTAAAAGACGTTGGCGTTCCAGTGAACGCGAACTTTATTTATGATTGTGTGTCAATGTGTGATGTCAATTGAAAGACTGCGATACAGAACTATGCAGACTATGAGAACTTTACACATCGACCTACTACAAAACAAGCACAACGAAGTTTAACTATGACAGCTATGAGAACTATGAGAACATTGAGAACATTGAAAACTATGAGAACATTGAGAACTATATGTTCTCAATGTTCTCCTAGTTCTCATAGTTCTCAATGCACTGTCGATGTTTTAAGTTCTCATAGTCTGCATAGTTCTGTATCGCAGTCTTTCGATTGACATCTATGGAGATGGGCGAGTACACGGATTTCTGAGTACGAGTATTTTATGAAAAGTACTCGAGTATTTTTTTTCTGTACAAGCCGGTGAATCTGAAAAAATTTCCGAATAAATCGATTTTTTGATACGCAAATAGTAAAAAAAAAGGTCACTAGTTTTTTGGGAAGTACTCGGATATTTTTTGGAATACTCGTTAAAAAAGGTCCCGAGTACGAGTATGAGTACGAGTACTGGGAATTTTGTACTCAAGTATACTCGTACTCACCCACCTCTGGAGTAGCAACTGAAGCAGCTTTTTCGATTGTGGAACGGGTTTTTGATAATGGTTGACGCAACTTTTTTTCCTTTGATGCTATTAAGTTTTACTCCTCACAAAGTGAGTCATACGTTGTTTGTTTCTCTCTTTTCCTATATAAGGTATGTCTGACGTAGAATATATGACTGTATGTTTACGTAATGATAAATAGTTTTATGAGTTATATATAAAAGTTGATTGCTTTGATCGCACAAAAAAAGTTTTACAAGGTATTCCACCCATTGCTTAGTTCAGATGTTCCAGATGACTGGATATTGTGCAATGTCATAAACTCTGCATGTCTTACTATTTCTTCTTGCATTGTTTTAGAATAATGTCTTCATTATTGTGTAATATTCCGTCTGATGTTTCTGTCCCTCCACGATTCATCGTAAACCTTGATTTACCCCCAATGTTAAGGTGGCAACATATTCTGCGTTTATACAAAGATCAATTTCATATAGTTGAACAGCAAATTGAGTCGATGATAAGCGAACTTATCGGTCAATGGTTAGGTCCGATGTTAGAAGGAACTCTATCGACGATAATGTCTGGTATAACACGATTAGGACTGATTTATTACGGAGAAGAATTGAAAGGATTTTCAGAAGTTATTGAAATATCATTGGGCAGATTAGTATTGATGCAGTTTGTATATGAATGTTTTGCGTGTTGTACATCTATCGTATGTAAAGATCAGCAGACCGGTATTCCAGTTCATATCAGAACCATGGATTGGGAACTCGACTTTCTGAAACCTTTGACCATCGGTACGTATATATGTTGATAATACTCATTTTAAAATCCTTACAACCATATTGATCTGTGTTCTGTACTATCAAGTTAGATCAGGTTTTTCCTATCAGTTTGAAATCTTTCCTCTAGATGTTGATTTTCAAAAAAGTGGTCAAACAATTTTCAAAGCAACAACATGGATTGGCTATGTTGGCATCCTTACGGGGATGCGACTTCAAGATGGTTACTCCATATCAGTTAATTTTCGACATACGGCTGGTTCATTCAAAACAAACCTCAAAACCGCTTTATCAAGGTAATCGATTTAGTGCACTTCAGTTTATTTAGGATAAGTCGAAATATATGTAAAACATTTCTCGAAGTGATTCTAAAAACTACCTAATTAACTATATATTCCCTCGCAATTTTAGCGGATGGCCGATTGGTTTTCTCGTTCGAGAAGTGTTAGAATCAACCCACAGTTATGATTTAGCTGTTGAACAGCTTTCAGAATCTACAATAATCGCACCATGTTATTTCACAATATGTGGAACAAGTCAGAATAAAACTGTCGGAACTCTATTAACGCGTAAACAACAATCAGAAGAAAATATGTGACTACCTACACTAAACGTAAAGGAGCTTTACTCATGACTGAATAGCGTTTTGTATTCAAGGTGGATAGTATCGGAAAATGGGCCAATTATTCAAACAAACATTGATCATTGGAGTTCAAGTAAAGAGGAAGATATATTCTTTTCAATAGCTCGTCGAACATTAGCCAAAAAATTATTAAATAAAATGAAAACAGTCAATGAATATGAACTCTGGAATGTAAGAAAACACGAGCATTATTTCAACAAATTTTTATTTTTTCTAGCAGAGATGCAATGTGCAGTTTGTAAAACGGGAGATGAATATTAATTTTCGAATGAGGATCATAATTGCATATCCTTTTTAATAAAATTCTTTTTCTTAGCTCGTATCAACGCCTCCAATATATAATAAAATAACGATTTATGGAACGTTGATGTGTCCGGAATATGGCATATACCATACACGACATCCTCAAGAAAAAATAGGGTTTAATACGAAAGAAACAATTCAATTTATTCCAGTGATGGATATTAAGGTAAGATCTTTTGTGGTATCTGTGATGATAAAAGTTAGATTCAATACACTTAAACTAAGAGCGATACATTTTTCTGATGTCTGTTACAAATCTTTGATAATTTAAAGACTTACAACTCTCTCATCGGCGACGATCACTCTACAAAACACAGAGAGAATTTTTTACACGAAAAAGATGTGTTTTTTTCTCAAGAAAATCTCATGTTACTAATCGAAACTTTGCGTTCTTCGATTTTTTCGTAAACGAACAAAGTCTAAGTATTTAATCATAATTAGTACGAAAGATTTTGAAATCAGTGAATTTGTCTGCGTCCGTTGAATTACTCTTGTCAATGGTTTTTCATTGGAAAAGGTTGTGAAAAAAGCAAAAATATTACTTTTTCTTAGTATTGTTTTGTTGATACTAGAATTTTGAATATGATAAAGAATTTATTTTACGCGACTTCTGTTTTAAGTAAAGGAAGAAGGCGAATAAGGGTAGTTTGAAAATTTTTCCGTTTTGATCAACTTATAATTCCACATAGGAATATGTAATCAACCGTGCTGACCACGAATATGAAGATAGGGGCGCACAGAAAGTTTCGGTTCAAGCAAAAAGTTAAAATTATTGACTTTTTTCAAAATCCTCCAAAATCGAGTGTAAATTCGTTTTTTTATTCTGGCAGTACGGAAATATTCATAAAAGCACACCAATCGACACAGAATTTCAAGCTGAATCGACTGATATAATTTAAGGATACTTTTGAAGCTGTTCAAGTAGAAAAAGTCCGAAATACGGCTGAAAAACAGGATTTTCGCTAGTATCTTGTTGGTTTTGGCCCCTTTAACATAGCTCGTGCAACTCGAAACTTCGTCAGTAGGTGCAACTTTGCATGCTCTATCCAATGGCAGCCTCAAAAATTGAAAAGGAGGTGTACAAGGGGGTCAAAACCAACAAGATACTAGCGAAAATCCTGTTTTTCAGCCGTATTTCGGACTTTTTCT